TTCGAGGTCCCTTCCAACCCTTGGGATTCTGTGTTTCTGTGATTCCTTCATCCTCTTTTTATCCCCCTCTGACTCAACTTCTGATGTATGCTCTGGGAGACCTGATGGAACTAGGAGAAACAACAGCTTCATACTCCCCATAGATTGTTAAATTCTCTCAAGTTACAGCAACAGCTTATGGTGTATCTATCTGATGTGTCATTAGAACGCCAACAGTTAATTACGAGATACTTCAGAGACACATAACCTGGAGGCAATCTCTACATCTCTCTTTGTAATACAGGAGCATAAACTTATCTGTAGATGAGTGGGGGTGAGGATGATGGTACTGAAACAAGCCTGAACTATCACTATCTCTCTTTTAGAAATAATGTTTTAAAATTCTATCCAGAGTTTATTTTGCTTGGCTGGTGTGTTCCTTCATTATAAATTCTCTCTATGTATTAACCACTGCCCTCTTGGCAGGGACTTGAGCCAGCTGTTAATGGTTTTATTGCTGGGGGGGGGGGGAGCAGAATGGAAAAAAAAAAATTATAGTGTGTCCTTGACATGTCAGTGGTATAAATAAATATCTTCAGAGAAGGATGTGAGCCTAGATGCTATAATTTTTACTTGACAGACTAGGACAACTGGGTTGAGAGTATCTGACAGCTAGATACAGTCTGATCTATAAGACTGAGTAGGGAAGCATGACAGACATATGTATTTATTAAAGATACATTTCCAAAATGTCCTAGTTTAATTTGACAACTCTGCCAGATAAAGCCTCAGGAAGTCCAAGGATATTACTTTGTACATGCCAGCATGACACTACAGTTTCAGTAGAAGTTAAAAATCATAAATAAATAGTTTTAGTGTCTTAAATTTAAAAATGGTAGGTACATTTATGAATGCTACAAAGCTAACCTATCTTTTAACAAAATAAAGAAGTTGAATTACTTTGCATACTTTGTGAATGTAGAAAAAGTGCACATGTATAACACGTATACAGTACTGGGTATTATTACTATTATATCCAAGTATATATCAGGAACAATACTTTTGTGGCAACATTGTAACATAGCAATATTTTTGTCATTTACTAAATTGGCAGCTAGCTTGTAGAAATTCAAACTGAGCACAAGAAGCACATGAAGCATTTTTCTTGCACTAGAAAGTTACAAGAAAAATATAAACATATTTCTACCGCTGAAACAATAGTGTGTTATACTTTTGAAACTCAGATTTCACACCATAGCCACTAACACTAACCTGATATTTGTCTGTCAGCATTTCAGAGAACCAGGAAAACTATACTTCATGCTTCTCTGGCTCCCTATAAAGACATGTTTTCAGTGTTCCTTATTGATATAACCAATCTTATAGGAGAGAAAATAAAAGTAGTTAATCATCTGATTTATTTGGCAAAGATCTCTACTTCCAGCATTTTGAGAACTTCAAATAAGTGAAATCATACCCCTAATATTCATATCTGCAGTGCTGGAGCTACAAACATATACATATGCCTTCATTTTAGGACAGTATAACTGCAATGGCCTCAAGACAGCAACTGACAAATGTTGTAGTTTAGATGAAAATAAAATCAAGTATATGTGTAAGTCATACTCATTATATGATACTCATCATAGGACTCAGCTGTGACAAACCATGAGAGAGAAGCTTCCTCCTCATTTTAAAGAATAAGGCAAATATTTAGGAGATGAAAATTCATCAGGAAAGATGATTACTTTATTACAGTCTTACTAAATTGTTACTAAGCCTTCAGGTTCTTTATCAAATGTAAAATTTTCAGGGCTGGGGGAGGGGGCAAATAGAAGCATAAAGATTTAGGTTTTAAATTTTTTTGTGAGAATGCTGAAGAAAAGAAGTAATTCCACAGAATCTTAATGTCTTTTCTCCCTTGTGTTTTGTGTTGAAAGTCAGAGTTACCAGCTCTCTTTAGAACCTGGTACCTGCAGCCATCACATTTCTAGTGCAAATAAGTACTGTAGCAAGGCCAGTATAATATCCATGCAGACAGATATAGCAGATCTATATAAACAACATGAGATGTGTCCAGCAATCTCAGCAAATTTAGGCTAAGCCAGAGATCTGCACTGTTAAACAATTTTTTTTTCTCATTTGCTAAAGAAGGTGATTGAACAAACCAAGGTTAAAACCCAAAGAGAACCTTTTGAGAAAACTTTTTCAAGCGGAGTTAAGTAGAAAACTCTCTCTTCTCTCTCTAGCATAACAATTCAAAGGAGGTAAGAAACTATGGGAAAGGGGCAGGCCAGTTGGCAGGATAAAAAACAAATAAATCAAGAACCCTCATTATTTTATGTAGTGAAAGCATTGGACAATTAAAAGTAGCTGAATATAAACCAGTCTTAACAATTTTAAACACATAACTCAAACTGTATTATCTCCCAAAACAAAATGATGGTCTTGTCCTACTTTTCTGCTGTTCAACCTTTTTTCACCTGCCTGCTTCCTAGAGACATGTCTATAACTCTTATCCTAACCCAGGAAAATCCTTCACACTTTTGCTTCTCATCTTTCTTACTGACAGCAAAGTACCAACTCTAAGAACTGTTGTGCACCAATAGAGCATAAATTAGTAACTTTGATATACAACGAGAGAAAGCAGTGTACAAGAAACCAATACATTAAACAAAATAAAAATAGCAAGAGGTAAAGAAACTCAAAGACATCATTTTTTTCTAAAATAATTTTCTTTGTTTCCCCCAAAGGGCAGCATTAGTTTGTGGACTAGAGCTGATAAAAATGATCCTTAATAAGTAGGACCACTCATCCACAGGAAGTTTTCACCAAATTTCAAGTCCTAAAACAAAATAAAATGTTTATGTGCAGTCACTGTATACCTCAGGTCCAGTGCATTTGCAGTGTATCAGGATAACTCAGATGCATGTTAATATGCTAATAAAGATGGTAAATGTAGGTAAAGGCACAGATTTGCCATGGGTACATTATTTGTGTGGTGTGAGAGCAAAGAGCAAAAAGCTTCTGTCAAGCTTGTAAGAAAAAGGTTTTCAAGGAGATGATTATCACTCAAAATTATTTTAGAAACAGAAAGAAGAAATGTTTTATCCACTGAAGGGAACCTTCTGGTGCATGGCTTATTATTAAGAAGCTTATTGCTTTATTGGAAGTAGAAATTATAATTTTAGATGGGTTAAGATATTTCACCTGAGATGATGTCAATAAAGTTCATAGTTATGAATTAAAAAAAAAGAGACAAAACCCCAGAACAAAATGACTAAACAGCAAGAAGAAAATAAACTTTTCAGCTCTTAAAAAGAGAATTAAAGTAATCTTTAGACTGAAGTTCTAGATTCCAGGCTCAGACAACATTTCAAGAAATCTCCTCAGCTTTAAATCCCCCACATCTTTTAACAGGAACATTTGCAATTTGTTACGAAGACACAGGCTGCAACACATAGTTAAATCTTCTGTTGAGCAGCCACTTTCATTGTTGAGTTTCTCTTCCTTTTATCCTATTGCTGTTTGTGTTTTTGAGCTACAACAAAATATTTTTATGTTTTTAGATATTAGATGAAAAGTCCCAAAGTTTAACTTGGGTAGAAACTGACAGAAAAATCTGACCCCAGATCCAGCCCATGTATGATGTTCTTGGACTTCTCATCATCTTATTTGCTTAAGTTTGGACGAAAAACATAAAAAATAAGCTTTAAGTGGAAATACGTTTGCAAACTCAAGGAGAAAGCAGCTTGTAAGATTCTGTAATCACTTCCCAGTCTGTATGTTATTACTGCTATTGAAATAGATGGCAAGAACACAACACCAAGGCTCTGCACATGATTAACATTTTATTCTTCCTGTAACTTGCTATAAACCTCAAATGAACTCGCAGGTTGGCAATAGCATACTTAGAGCTAGATGCCAAATTATATGAGACATTTTTTCCAAACAGCATCACCTTCTTTGGGTTTGGTTCACTTTCTTTCTCCCACCCTCTTTTTTCCCCTCATCCCCCAATAGCTGTTATAGCTGGTCAGACGTTTCATATGTATTTGTGACTTAAATCATTGAAAAGGTCTCAATCCTAGACACAAAATGCTTCATGAAGAGATTTTTTTTTCTTCTTTTCAGCTACAGGCTTGCTTTTCCTTTGAGAAATGTTGCAAAAAAAAGATACCAATTATCCCAATTAGCCTGTCAGCAAAAGTCCAGAATGGGCTTACCCACCCATTTTCCATAGGCCCCGGAAGAATAATCACATCATGGAGTAACTATGCTACTGCTGCTTTCTGTGCCATATAGTCAAGTAACTCGGGAGGTTCAATGTCCAAGGGTTCAGCCTGGTTAGCTGCCTGGTCCTGCAGAAAGCTTTTCAGCTCTCAGGGTCATAAGCCACATATGTCAGACAGAACAGCATCCTGCCTCAGATTTTGTGAATATTCTCAATGCAATGTCCAAGGATTGTTGCTAAAGGCCACATTTTACAAAAACATCAAAGGACTTAAAATACCTGCAAAGGGTTTGCTCAGTACAGGACTCAGAGAGGAAAGCCTGACAAGATTTTCCAGAAACAGTTTTAAGAAAGTAAGGCAAGAGATGCCTGAAGACTAAGCTCCTTCAGGTTACAGTCAACCCAGGTACACTTGAGATGAGGACTGGAAGCCCAATTTTGCCGAAATCCGGTGGGTCTACCTGCTAACATTGTCCCTGACTACTGTTTGAGGATCAGATCTGATCTCTGAGTAATGAAAGCAAGCTTATGCTTTTGGGTTTTTTTTCTTAAGTGCTTTTTTATTTCTTAGAAAGAAGGAAAGACATTTGGCCAAATCATCTTGTTAACATGCTTTCATTTGTTGAATTCACTCCCATTACACCTAGAAGAAAAATGAACAAACTAGCACAGTAGTGTAATATGAAATCTTGATAGCATACTGAAACAGCTAGACATTTCAATTCTTTGCTGATAAATTTGTTCCTTTGAAAATGTGTAACATACTTCAAAAATATCTATGTGATGCTTCGGTGAACATCCCTTTATTGAAAACCAGAGTAACGATACAATTCTGGTCACAGATGAATGGCCTGACAAAGTCCAGATACAGACAGTCAAGGTCCTGCTCTGCCTTCACATTCTCAAGACTGATTACAGTCCAAGTGGCCCCCCATGAACCTCAGAGAATAATTGGCCTTTCATTTATAAAACCTTTAGGTCCATTTTGTTCTGATGATGGAATCTTTCCTCTTTTTCTGCTACCAACATTGTTTGCTATCTATATAGCTCTTGGAACATCATGACAATTTGCCGAGAAAGGCGGATAGCTCTACCTGCATTAATAGAAATGGGGTGAAAATGTGTAATATTGAAAAACAGACCTGCTCAAGCTATTAGCAGTTGCAAAGAACACTGACTCTCAGACATCCAGTCCACTGTGCTCTAGCCTTTCAAGTTACACTGACAGTTACTAGGTACAATTGAGATTGTACACTGACAATACAGAAAGAAAGAGAAAAAACACTCTGAAAGAAAACCTAATTTAGAGAAGGTGTTAGAACAGAAGGATTGGAAGACAATACTGGTGACATGGGGAAAGGAGAGTCTGAGCAACAGCACAGAAACAAAGATATCTGAAAGTAAGAGAAGAAACACAGATAGCACCTTCAGGTAACAAAGCAGTAATTTTATTTGTTTTGCATATAAATCAGGAAAAAACATGTATTAGAATTTAGGTGAGATGTGACTGTCAGCTAGAGTTTTCAGGAAATAAAGATAAAAAATTATTCAAGTTTTGTATTTTTTATGTTTTTCTACTTTCATTTGGCACCCTGGAGTCAAATTTTGCACTGGAAGCCCTTGTCTTTACAGTTTTCTGTTTTCTTTTTGCTTGTGGTTCTTTCCTGGGAGCTTTGCATGATCAAATGGCATAACCAGCTACTAAATCTGATCCTCAACTTCATTTCCTGGTTTCCCTGGAGTCCGAAAACCAGGACTGGAGTATTTTCTTCTGAGAAAATGTTCCATTAGCCTAGGTTAGAAGGCTGGCCAAAACTTTTAACACCACCTAAGATGCCCTGTTGTTCGAACAAAGGCCTTGGAAGGCATTTCTGTCAGCTGGTGTTGAGCTTAGCATCCTGTAGAGCTTGCAAGACATCTGCTGGCATCCCACTGCGCAACTCCAGAGGTGCCGAGGGACTGTGGCAGCCCACTACCCCAGCCAGGCTCTGTGGAGTGGTGGCTATGGTCTCTCTCTGCTGACCTGGTTGGGCACCTGCAGTGCATGACCTTCCTTGAACTCAAGTCCTACCACTGTGACCATGGCTACAGGGGGACAATTTTTCTCCAAATTTGTTCACCTCCTGCTTAAATCGGTGAGTCTTGTGTGAACAGGGCTCCTTCCCCTGTGTCTAGCTGTTCTGAAAAACAGAAAACAGATGACTGAGTAAAGCATCATCTGGGATATTAATAATATCATTTCCAGGCTTCTAATGTTACGAAGACTTCAGCCAATACAGAGTGTTTATTATGTAACTGTTCCCCGTTAGTTTAGATATACAAACTTGTAGGGGAATAAAAGTATATTACATTGGAATGACTATAGAGAATATTTGCATTCCTGTTTGAATGGATCTCTTCTAGGTTTCAGAATACAGAATAATTATGGAAATCGTATGCACATGTGTGATGTAAGAAACTCGGTACGGTGGAGGTACTACGGGAAATCTACAGTTACATGGTGTAAAGAGGCTACAGCTGCACAGTTCACTGTGGAAAGAATAACTTCAAATGGCAGCAAACTAGACATAAAATTAAAAGCTTATGAAAGCATCACTGTTCACAGAATAAGAAGAGGACAGATTCATAAATATGTATGAATAAGCAGCAAGTTAAAACGTGTGATAGAAAAGAATATATTTTCTGTATTTCTTTCTGACTTCCAGTACCATTTCACATCTGAAGATCCATTAGGCTACACCAATCATAGAATCGCAGATTGGTTTGGGTTGGAAGGGATCTTAAAGATCTCCTTGTTTCAGCCGCTCTGCCATGGGCAGGGACACCTCCCTCTATACCCTCCTCACCGCCCTAAGGGTTTCAAACTCCACCATTTCTTGGTCGCACCATTATGATGGCCATCTGTGTAAAAAATTAGCTTCAAATGACACATGAATTTTAGACATACACTAGGGGAGGGAAAGATTATGACACAGTAATGTTCATCAATATTTAATGTATTTAGAATTGTTTCTCAGACTTGCAATAATGAAAACAAGCTTATGTCACATCTACAAACTTGAAACAAATTGTTTGACTTGAGGAATTAGGTTATAGTTGCCATTGATTTCTAATTTTGCAAAAAAAAACAACCAACCATGGTAACAGGCAGTAACAGAAATTGTGGGTTCATATTTTAAGGTACACCTCAAAAGAGGCACAAAAAGCCAGTTTTGCTAACAGGTGCAAAGTGGTAGCATTATTCTGTTCTTTTGCTGCAACCTTTTAAAAAGCAACTCAGGTTATCTTTTAGCATTAAAACACTTTAATAAACACATTAATAAAATTAACTAATTAATACAGCAGTACCAGCAGTTGGCTATCTGTAAAGTTCAACATTGAATCATAAGTAAGTCAGGAAAATCTGACAAATGTAAGAAATCACACAAAGACAATGCAGGAAGTAATCAAACACCCTTAATATCACAAAGTTGGTCAAATCTGGCACTGGTTTCAGTTACTTCTGTTTAAGTTCACCTGGAATAACAGTCCCCAATGGATCCTTTTTTCCAATTAGAAATTTAAGATTTGAATTATATCAATTAATACAACAATAATTATAGTAAATCATATGAAATACACAATGAGGAAGAGTGTGTTTGCAGATGACCATTTGGGTGTCACATATTAAATAAATTAATAAAATAAAAACAGTGGTGCATTTTCTTTCCCATGAAATGTTATGCAGCTATTACAGCAGCCACTGTTGGTTGGCAGATCAGTTTTAGGAAAACACAGAATGTACAGCCTTAGATATAATTTCTTTTCCTAGGGCACCAGGTGCTTTAAATGCCATCAGAAGGATGCTCTAGGCAGTGCCATACTGTCCAGCATGGCTTGGCATAGGTTAGCTCAAAGCCTTTGTGTCTTTGCAGACTTTGATTAAGGGCCAGTGTTAGAACTCCTATGGGTTTTTACTTGATCCAGTGTAAAATAGGGATTTTTTTTTTCCCATCATAGCTGCCAAAAAATATGCCAGTTAAGATAATTACATTTCAATTTAAATTGGTAATTTAATGGAAAATTTTAAACCAGGATGTAGGACAAAATGCATATTTCTAATCCTATTCCACAACAATACTTTTTGTCTGTTGTAGATAATTTAGGGGCCCAGTTCCATGGTTTTGGCACTCAGTGAGAACAGGGAGTTTTAGGACTCCATTGTTTTAGAGGATTGTCTCTTCCGTCTATTTTAAGCCTTCAAAACTCACCTTGATTTAGTTTTATCCATTTACTGTTTGCTGTTTCATTAACTACCTGTCTTTATGAGCCACAATACACGTAAGAAACAAATTCTTACAAAAAATATTTGCTCCCTTTTAGGAGGATAAGTAGAACCCAAGATATTCTGTCTGCCACTTCTCTGTTGTTTTCAGTATTTGTTTCGAGGCTGACACAGAAGTCTGGCAGTCGCAACATACTGTAAGGGGAATAATTTTCCTTTGTTTAGAGAGCAGTGTGTGCCGCCATTTAAATAATAAAATCCTCACACAAATAACAGATGGTGAAGAGGCACTCATGTTGCCACATGTTGGAAGCATGATACAGTTCCTTGATGAACTCGTTTCTCTTACTTTTGCCTACAGATGTCTACCAGCTATTAAACCTTGGGGATTAGTCAGCTGGTGAAAGGTTTAAAGACAGGCAAAAATCTGTCTACTGAATTTTCTGCTTCCAGGAGTAGCGAATGTTGAAACCTGATAGAAATGCACAATCCATTGAAAACAGTTTCCACTACCATAAAAAGTAAATAACAATCTATTTTTGACATTCACTGAGCTGAAATGGTTCACTATAAAAGACAGAAAATACCATTATTGTACTGAGTCTGAGATGTGTTCTGTCTTTTTGGAATCCCTTTCTGAGCAGAAGCTGGGGGACAGAGTGAGCCATGCTAATGCTGTATATTAGCAATATCAGCTCTTGTATGCATTACCATTAATTCTATGTGCAAATTAACTGCCGGAAAACAAACGTCTGTCACTTGAAATAACAGCCATACAGCCTGTGTACAGTGCAGTGGAATAAGATCACACTACGCTCCCTAATTAGAGTTAATGGGCCTGCTTCTCATCCCATTTACACTGGTTTTGTGATCATGTGATCCATGCTATCCTCTCCAGTGGAGCTGCTCTTTGAAAAGAATCAGTCCCTGGGATGACACAGAGGGTATTAAAATGTGTGGTCATTTAGTTAAGTCTAAATGTTGCTCCTTAGATGCACATTTGTATATTGCTGTCAGAGCTGGACTCCTGCCATTTCAATGCAGGGGCTGAGATGGGTGAGATAGATATTCAAAACTATGGGTGCATTTTATGACCTCTGTTTTACCTGAAATGTGGCATTTCATACAGCTATATGGACAGAGCAAACACTTAAAATTAGCTACAACCCTTAGCATCTACAGAAAAATAAGTAATTTGATTAAAAATTAGTTACATCACAACTTTGTTCTCATCATGTTAACACACTTTGGTCTGTGTGCATTAGCATATTAATGCTTACAAATGTTGAGGAAACCTACAGCCAGCTCATTTACCTTCCTGTGTGCTACAAATTTGGCCAGACTCCAGAAATCTGTTTTCCCATTCAACAATATACGCTTGTTCATATTGACAAACACTACTGATTGAGAGTGCAGCTTCCATTTTATGAACACCAACATAGGGTTCAAATTAGCACATATTCCTCCTTCTGGCTCTGCCAAGGGGCAGGCAGGGCAAGAGAGGTAGTTTGTAGTTGTGGGCCTGTTTATGAGCTATCCTATGTCGGGGAAGCCCAGGAGCCTATGCCTAGGCTAAGTGGGAGCACCTGGAGGCACCTCATTGCAGGAAGGGTGGCTCAGGGTGTGGGGAGGCAGCTAGCCTTGGTTGCAAATCTAGTGGTATTTACCAAGCACCTCAACACATCAGGGTCACCCTTCATCATGCCCCTATTTTCTTTGGAAACACATGCCTTGTAGTCCTAAATAACCAACCCTGAAGCTGCTGATGTTAGTACAAAGCAGAGGTGGCAAAATCTTTCTAAGCAAGAAACTGCTGCTGCAACACCCTCTCTTATCCCACCCTCTCTATTTGACACTGGTTCTGAAAAACAAGTAGACTGTAAAATTCTGTTTCATGTCTGCCATGTTAAAATCTACAGAAACTGTACCTAATAGAGCTGTTAATTGGGTGCACCCTCTTCAGGGAGATACGCATGTGGACAAGATCTCTACTCTCTAAAAATTTTGAAATACCCCAGGTGAAACGGAGCCCAGATCTTTAAGGTCTGCATGAGAAAGAAGAGTACGCTACGGTGGTTCGGGGCTCTCACCTGGACTGTGGATTCACACTTACCTGATGTCAATAATGTTTTAATGTTTGGTTAGCTTTGATTAACTTGCTTGGGATTTGCATTTTTTTCTGCTTGTTGGTTTTGGGGGTTTTGTTTTGTTTTATTTTTGCCACATGAGCCAGTCTATAAGGAAAGAATATATTGAATTGTCAGATTTTTAGTTAGTACATTTTAAAGAAAATTGCAGGTCTGATCAACCCATAGCATGGAGCCCTGACAATCTACAGTCTTTAGAATCCAGGAAATACACTATTATTTTTAATCCCAGTAGCTGACATGGTGGCTGAAGCTGTCACTCACTGTGTTCTGAAATTCATCTAGTTAAATATTTGTCCCAGTACCTAAGGACCCTTTTGGAGAAAATGCCTGCATTCATCCCTTACCAATAGATCACTGACTGGAGAGTTATCCCCCAAAGTGGGGCACTCCTGCTTTAGAACTTTCCCCAACCTATTTCTGGATCAAAAGGAATTTCTACCTCCTTCCAGAGATTCCCACATCAAAAGTGACTTGTTACTTTTTGGGTATCTTGGAACAATGTGTCAGGCTGCTCTTTTGCAAAACCATCATACCCCATAGGAATATCAGGTATTAATGCACTAACATTGACCACTTAATTTGAAATTACCTGTATCTCACGTCATAAAAGCAAATACAAATCCAGAGCCACAGACTTACATAAGGATACAAGCAACAAAAGGGAAATAAATTTCTTTCATATCAAGGTCAAATACAAAAGGTATCTCTTCCTCTCTAGAGATGCTTTACCTGGCATTGATTATGTTACCAGGAACTTATTACTCCTGATGAAGTTTTTACATCTGCAGGTTATATTCACAGAAGGGAATATTACATTCCACTCAGGGAAGCCCACTGATTTTTCTAAAGTCAGGAAGACAGTTTCCATTTCTTACCTTTCTCTTTCTTCTCTCCTTCACCATTCCCCAGATTAAAAAAAATCCAGAAACCTGAAGATTGAAAAGGGCTGAAAATACGTCATCTGTGTTTTTCTTAGAGCATTTGAAATAGAATTTTATTTTCCTCCCACTGACAATAAAAATACATTATTTTCATTTTTACTTGTTTTGTATTACTTAGAGATGCACAGATATAGCTATCCAACACACTTTTTAATTGTGAAAAAAACAGTTCTTCAGCATAATATTCTTGTAAGTTTAATAATGTTTTTCAAACAAACAGTACTGGGACTAGAGAATAGATGCTAGCCACTGCATAATATGGATGCGATTACCAAGCTATAGCTAACATATGTGTTAAAGTTAAACCTCTACCAAAGTTACAGCAAAATAAAAATAATATGCTTTAATAATTTAAACAGTGACAGTGAAATTTAAATTAAAAAGTGACCAAGATTTCTTGTTGTCTGACTGAATTTCTCCAGTTACAGATTACATAAATATCAGTGTTTTGTTCATAAATAAATCTCAAGACATTTTCTTCATTTTTATGCACAGACATTAAACCTGAAGCATCAGAATCACAATATGAATAACTGAGGACTGCATTTAAGTGTCTTCTTGTAACAAACACTGTCTTAATATTAACATATAACATTGACTGAGAAATCAAATGTCTATGTATCTTCCATAAATATCTCTATCTTTTGTACTCTCTAAAATATGCAAAAGAATGGGTACAAGCAGAGGACAAGCATCCCATACTATCCTGATGTTCATTCAGGATTTAAACAAAACTTTTAGGTTTTAAATAAAATAATGTGTAGAAAAATGGTAATGAGCCAACTCTAGGAAAAAAAAAAGAGCAGCTGTTTTGATAAACATTTTCACCTGAAAAGGCGCTGGTTCAAGCACTTGAAAAATTTGCCCTCATTCTCCCTTAATTATCCAGAAACACAGTTCATAATACCTTTTTCA